TATCTTGTCTCTAGGGGATCATCTGGATATGGCCCTGTTTTCCATCCAAAATGCAAAGCCAGAATCCGTGAAGAACGACACAGCTACCCAACAACTTCAAAGCTGGATGGGATTGAATCGATGCCGCAACAAGAGGTGTTAACTGCTCCAATCAAAGGTTGCTTCCCACGGCCAGCAAACACTGTTTTATTTCCCCTGCCAATCATCTAAACAATACAATTGCATTCACATTAATCTAGACATATCTTTTCAAGAGGAGTAAATGGAACAAATCCAAGCAAACAGAGTGGTATTAGCTCTCTTCCTCATAAAATCACCAGGAAGAGCAAAGATGCAATTAAAGAGACAATTAAAGTATTGCAGCGTATGTTCGTGCCCTAGTCTTCCATAAGCTGCAAATTCTGCCAGGGCAGAGTCAGGCCTGATTTCTCTGAAGCTAGATCTATCATGCTAAGGAGGAGAATTCAGAAGATGTGCATGTTGTCACAGTTTTGGAAGTTGCTCTCAGTTAAAGAATAATCTTTCTTATCTCTTCTGGCACATCTCTATGATGGTTTTCTATGTTGGCATCATCTGTTTTCAATCTGCTTTTCAGTGTTGATCAGTCTCACACCCCTTCCTAGACTGTGCCCAAGTCCAACTGGATACTGTTCTGAGAGAGTGCTCCCCCCTCTATTTTCTCTTGACAATGGCCATGGGGTTCCTGCTGCCTGAAATGCTTTCCCCAGAACATGTGGAATCAGATCTATTCCTCAAATTCAGTTCAGATATCATCCTTCAAACAAATCGTCTAGTTTTCCCGACATAATGTGGTTTGTCTCCTTTCTCTGATACTGAGTTTGAATGTCTTCTATGTACCTAGGATTTTATGCTTTTTACTCATATTATCGATTTCATCCCTATCTCCTGCAAAACTGTAAGATTCCCAAAGACACAGAACCTTTACTCATTCATCTTTTTCTCTTCTGCATATTGTAGTAAATCACCTTGAGCACAGCAAACATTCAATAAGAAAATACGTTAGTAATAGTAGTAAAAGTTTACACTTAGATGGTGCTTAATAAATACTGTATTTTTCTAACATGTATTAAGACATAAAATCATCACAAAACTAAGAGCTTGGCTCTATTATTATTAGCTTTATTTTACCAAAAAGAACAAAGCAGCACAGAAAGATGGAAGAATTTGCCAAGTTCACACAGCTATTATATGGCAAAACTGTACACATTCAAACGCTGGCAGTCAAATTCCTACATCCATGCTCTTATTCCCATGCTTGCCTGCATCTTGATTTTGAAGGAATGAATGAATGTTTCAAAAAGCTTATTTATATTCTATTTATATATGTATTATATACATACTTATGCATACAATACTTATGTACTATCTAAATTCTGTTTTACCATTTAACTTCTCCTTCCTTACACATACCAAGATCTCTCTCTTTTTTTTCCTTTCTAGGCTAAATTGAAGCTTCAATCCAAGAAGGTTATTGACTATTTTTTTTCTTAGTCTCGAGATCTATAGACCAGTATAAATTTCCCTCATTTTCTAACATCTTTAAAATATAACTTCAGACTCACAAAAGGTTACAAAGATAATACAGAGAGATCATTGTAGCTACAATCAAAGTTCCCCCAATGGTAACATCTTGCATTGCTATGGATCATTATGAAAACCAGGAAATTGATACTGGCACAATATTATTGACCTGCCTACATTTCTTACTTGGGCTTAACAGCTTTTTCATGAATTTACTTTTTTTTCTTCTTTGTGTATAATCCTAAAATATCTTACCACATGCATAGAATAACCATCACCATGATCAAGATATGAAACTATTCTATCACGGCAAAGATGCTTTCATATGCTATACTTTCAGAGTCACACCCTCTGTTTCCTTTCTTAACCTCTGGCAACCACTAAGAAGCTCTCAATATGCATAATTTTATATTTTGGGAATGGATGGAATCATATAATGTGTACCATTTTGAGACTGACTTCTTTTTTCTCTTAACGTGAGTGTTCTTGAGATGTTTCCAAGTTGCTACAGTATCAACAATTCATTCCCTTTTTTTGCTAAGTAGTATTCCATGGTGTGGAAGATCCACTGCTTGTTTGATCTTCCCTCAGTGAAGGCCACCTGGGTTGTTTCTTTCTGGGGGGCTACTGCAGATAAAACTGCTATGAATCTTTATGTACAGGTTTTTGTCTGAATGTAAATGTTTATGACTGTGATAAATAATCAGGAGTGAAAACACTGGGTCATATGGTAATTATATGTTTCACTTTCCAGGAATTGAGGGACTCCTCAATTTTAGACTCCTATCCCCAATTTACCAGGTACCAATTTTTTCCACAATGTTTGCCAACACTTGGTATGAGTTGTTGTTTTTTTTTTTTTTGGTAGCCATTCTAATACATGTGTAACATCTCACTGTGGTTGTAAACTTCATTTTGTTAATAACTACGGATTCTGAACATTGTTTCCTGTGTTTATCTGCCATCTGTATATCTTCCATGGGAAAGTTTAAGTCTTGCCCATTTTTCTAATTGAATTGTGTTTCTCCCTTACTACTGGGAATAGAAAGTTTTGATCTTTCATCCTCTTAACTCAGTATTTTTCAGAATGAAGTTTTATATTTTTATGAAATCCAATATATCCATTGTTATTGTTTTATAGTTCATGGTTTGGGTGTCATATCTAAGAACACTCTGCCTAGCTTCAGGTCATGAAGATTTTCTCCTATGTTATCTTCTAAAAGTTTTATAGTCGTACATTTTACATTTAGATCTATGATCTGTTTAGAGTTAACTGTTATATAAGGCTGAGGTTTAGTTTGAAGTTCATTTTTATAGCTATTGATGTCCTGCTGTTTCAACACTATTTGTTTAAACAGCTGTCCTTACTTCTCTATGAATTTCTTTTGCACCTTTTCAAAAATAATTTGGGTGTAATTGTATGATTCTTTTTCTGTTACCCACAATTTTAAATTGAGTACATTGCAATTAAAGGAGATGTGGGAATTAGACCTACTCAACATAAATACTTAATCTAATTAAGATGGTCTTTTAAAAGTGACCAAAATATGAATTTGATTTAAAAACAAACAAACAAAAAAAACCCTCTTCTGAAAGACCATTATCTCCTTTCTTGTACATCAGGAAGTCTGCAATTGTCTGTATCACAGAAACACTAACCTGAATACATCCTCTCTGCACAAACACAACAAAATAACAAAGCAAAAGAGCAACCTGCCAAACCTACAAACACCAAAGCAATGAGTGTAGGTCTAGACATTCCCAAGTCACTTGTTCTAGTGGGGTCTATATAACGGAAATCATAAGATCTGCCACTCTGGGAATTCCCTGGGCGGAATTCCCACTCAGTGGTTAGGACTCTGCCTTCCAATGCAGGGGGCATGAGTTTGATGCCTGGTTAGAGAACTAAGATCCCACGGGCCACATGTTGTGACTAATAATAAAGAGATCCTATTAAAAAACAGTTCTGCCTCCCTATCTTTCTCACATTAATGCTTTCTCACTCATCTCACAATGAGATCATGTGAATGAAGGTAATTTATAGTGCCTATATCACTAAATAGAAACAGAACATTTCTAACAAGGATATTCACTACAACCCTTCCACTTCTAGATGAATAGCTATCATCCCAATATTTTGTGCCCTGGGACTTGGGTAATAGACATGCTGTTTTCACTATTTCTTCATTTGACCAACACCAATGAAATTTCATCCAGACCAACACTTGTCTCCAGGAAAAAAAGTCTCTCTAAATACCAGCCATTCTTGACTTCTTCATTTTGTTCATCATTTGCTCCCCCATAGAAAAAGAACTACTCTTAAAGTTAAAGTTGTTTAAAAAAATGTAATGTTGATTTGGATCATTAATGACCTCTATGTGAATACTACATTCTTGCCTATTAATTAAATAATACATGAACTATATCTTCTTTGGATCAGAATCTAAACACAAAGAGGAAAGAAATATACTTTTGAAGGGCTTACAGTCTATTTCAAGCATGTGCCATTGATTGCCCATTGGGGCTGAATCATGTCTGTCCTTGGAAGGGTCAAGGAAGAACTAACATTGTCCGTCAAGTATTTAACCTAGCCATTGTAAATTCACTGAAAGCAGGCTCTGAATTCCTAAATCGTTAAATATCAAATGAAAACTTTATGGATGCCACATAATATTTATAGTTGTACCACAGAGTGAAATCCTTATGTTCATTCATTCAACAGTCATTCATTGAATACCTGTTCTGTGCACTCTTGATCTAGGATCTTGGAATAAAAGGCACAAGATGCATTTCTTGCTTTTAAAAGATCATAATTTAACTCTTTTATTAAGAAGAAGAATTTGTAGCAGGATAATATATAGGAAAGTCTGTTTTCAAAAAGTATAAATTTCTATATAAATAGAAGATTTTTTATAATTAAATAATTGAGTGATGGAGTTTTCACTCATAGAATTGTTTATAATCAGATTAGCAAGAATTTAAAGGGAAATGAAACCAGCCCTCATAACAGCATTTATTGAAATATCTGCTATTCTTTTGTTTAGCTTTAGATCTTAGTTAAGATTTAAAAAATCTTTGAAAATTATCCAAAATACTTATATTTTGAGAGCAGGGAAACCCAGGCTAAGTTGATAAGCCTGGTCAGATTAATTACTATAGAAGTAAACTCTCAAATCAATTATTTTGCTAAAAATAAGTCAACTACATTTAGAAAAGTTTTATTGGCTGTCTCAGCTATGAATCACTTTGGTTCTAAAGGTGTTTACTGACAAATTACTTTCTTGCTTAACTTTAAGCTTTAAAAAAGAGTTTAATGTCTCTATTGTATCACCATTCACTGTGATTTAGCAATCTGTGTGTCTTACTATAAGTAATTAATATCTCTTTTTGATTGGTTTGCTTTCCTTTTGGGGTGAACTTCAATGTAAACTCTGCATCTCTTTTTTGTCATTCTACAGCTGTTCACAGAAATCATCCATAAAAGCACTGCTATCCAGATGCACGGAGAACGCGTCGAATGCCCCTGGCCTGCCTAAACACTGCTTAGGTGCAGTGTGCAATTCTGCCTGTGGGGGAAAATGAACTTTGTGTTATTTCCTGATGTTTCATTGTCGTCACTGTTAACCGGCTACTTCAGATGCATACTTCCCACAGCCGCATAACCCTGGAGAATATAATTTCCTTTCCAATAGCCCATCACTTGGGCAACTTCTTGTAACAACCTATGGGATTAATAGACTGAAAATGCCCATTATCAAATGAGCTAAACCCTTGCCTGAAAATGACTTTGAAACAGTGTCTGAGAAAGCATCCTCTGGGCGGCGGTTTAAATCCCCAGCGGAGCCAGCTTACTGGCCTCCAGAGAATGCAGCCCTGTGGAAACACTGGCGGTGCTGCTGCTGCGGATAAGCTTTCTTACTGCTCCGGGGTCTCACCTGAGATGCCCATGGTGCAAACTCAGCCCCTCCTAGATGATGTCCTGCTTTTAGACATGGTGACAGGAATTTTCAGTGACAGTCAGGTCCAGGCTGCTGCAGTCTGCTGCGTATTCTGTTTTTTATTTTCCTTATCTTATGGTTATATTCTTGAATTTCCATAACTGCCACGTTATAAAGCATCTCTTCTAGATCTCTCTTTAAAATGTAAAACTTCAGTATCATGACTATTCAGTATAAATTAATCAAATGTATCAAGAGAAATCTTAAAAACATGTTGCATTTTAAATGGTATTTTACTAGATGTTTGTTTACAAGTACCAGTGTGGTACCTTTAGAAATGCAGTTTATTATTTTTTTAAATTTCTAAAAAATTTATTTATTTTTTAATTGAAGGGTAATTGCTTTACAGAATTTTGATGTTTTCTGTCAAACATCAACATAAATCAGCCATAGGTGTACAATGCAGTTTATTATTTTTAAAGTGCTATTTGCATTTATTTGTAGAAGAAGTGACTTCCAACATCTAACGTAGATGCTGGCATGTCAGTGACAATATGTCATAAATGCAGGTTGGAATAAGGCTAGTCACTCCTTTAAGCACTACTCATTAGGGCAGGAAGTCAGGGGTGAACACATAGGTCAAGAACACAAAAGCAAGATGAAAATACATGCAAAAGACAAGAGGCATGTATAAAGGGCACACACACAACAGCAGTGTATGTTCTTCCATCCATAACCTCGTGTGGTGTTTGATGAAACATCTCATTCAGGTACTTATGCTGCTAAAAATCTCTGATAAAAGTAACTAAGCACAACTATTATGGTGAAATAACCAACAAAAGCCTTTACACACAAAATTTAAGATTCTAGGGAGAGCAAACACCAGAAACATACATCTGTATTTTTAGATGTTTAGAGGGAAATGTGGGTGATGGTCTAATGAGAGCAGCCTTGAGAGGTAGCCAGGGAGCTGGTGATCTAATGAAGTAGTAATAAGAGAGGAGAGATTTGGATAATACAGACTATGTCAATTATATGAAGAATAAAAAAAAATAAATGAAAAAGAGCTTCATGTAGCCAAAATAAAAGGCAATTTTCCATTTATGCCAACAACTTAAATATAAGAATATTACTCCTGGAATTTCTCCAGGTTTTGATTCAGGATTCTGTATTGCTGATTTAATTTATGAATACAAGATTTAGCAGGTGGGCAAGGATGGGATAGGGGTGAGGGCTGAGGAAAGCCTAGAAGCAAACAGCAGGTAAATAAGCAACATTTGGGAAGCTTGTGTGACAACAAAAGCTTGACTTGGGGAAGATATGTTAAAATCTCCCTCCAAAATTTTTGACTAAGAGGAATGAGTAGAATAGCTGTCAGTAGCTTTACTGCAGATTAGGTAGTTTGAACCAAATATGAAAAACAGAAGCAGCCATAAGATACAAAATGATTTTACAGAAATAATTTTGTAAACAAAATTACAGTATCCATCTACTTATTGGGAAAAATAGACATGTTAATATTTATTACACTCAATATATGTATGTCATTCTGAAATAAAAATTCTTAAGAGTTTCTTTGTGATTATTCTTGTTTCTGCTGCACAGAGGTATGGGGAATATTCATGGCATTAAATTCAATGAATCTGTAAATTCCTTTTCTTCTTAGTGCATGAAATACATGACTCTAGACTTTTGTGTTTTGTTGAGACAGCACAATATTTGCAATTAGCTGTCTGACAACTATGACAGAGATATAGTTAAAGACAGTGGAAAATAGACTGGAGCCAGTGTGGTCTACTGTGAGAGCATTTTATTACCTGAATATACTTTTGTGCTTTGGTATTTCAGAGAGGACTGTCACCCTAGGAAGTCTTTTGCTTAGGCAGACAATGGGATCCCAGTGAAAATAATAGCAATTGTGAACTAAACTCTGGAGGCTAGGTTAATTTTCACATGACTCTATGGTATATTGGTATTTCAATAAAAGAATTGCTGAGTTTAGATTTTCTCAGCTGAATTCTGGAGTTCGGTTGCTACGATCAATTCCTCAAGAAAAGAAAAAAAAGAAGATATCTTTATAGAGATTTAATGCAGATTGACACGTGGAACACAGAAATAGATCTCCACAGAGTTTTTTAACCTCCTTGAGCTTATATAACAGAGTATCTCCAGTGGTAAAACTAAAACAAAATGCAAATTCATCAGGGGCATGGTAGTTTTATATACAAATCAAACTGGTTTTAAGCAAGAACATCTGTGCAAACAAGATTGTGAAAGGTAATTTCCAGGCTACAAAGGAAGAGAAAGTATGTTGATTGGATTTTAAAATAGACATGCTAAATGTGCACACCTACTGCAATGTGAGGTGCATGACATAATGAGTTTATTTAATGAAGATTTGCAGAAAAGCCTAACTAGAGGAAAGAAGTATGTTTTTCCTTGTTTTCAATATCGATGTTGAGGAGTACTTGCAAGTGAAAAAAAAATCTTATGCTGCTACTAATATGTGGAATCTAAAATATGAAACAAATAAACTTATTCATGAAACATAAATAGACTCACAGACATGGGAAATAAACTTACAGTTACCAAAGGGGAAAGAGGAGGAGGGATGAATTGGGAATTTGGTATTAACAGATATACACTACTGTACATGAAATAGAAAGCAAGTACTTTACTGTACAGCACAAGGAATAATTATACACAATATCTTATATAAAGTCATAATGGAAAAGAATGCAAAAAAGAATATATATATATATATATATATATAAGTGAGTCACGTTGCTGTATACCAGAAACTAACACAGCACTGTAAATCTCTGCATAGCACAGGAACCATTTTCAATATCTTATAGTAAATCATAATGGAAAAGAATATGAAAAAGAAGACATATATATTTATGTATATATATATATAACTGACTCACTTTGCTATATACCAGGCACTAATACAGCATTGTAAGTCAATCATACATCAATTGACCAAAAAAAGGCAATATGCAAAGCTCATTTTTTCAAGTCAGACATTTAACTGAGCATCTACTATGTGCCATGCACTATACTGGGAGATATATTTTACTGCTGGTTAATCCCTGCCCCCCAGGAACTGATACCATCGTAAAGAGACACAGGAGTAACTTACTGCTTTGGGGGAAAAGAGGAAGGCACGATTTCTCTGAGAACACAGAGTAGGAACATCTAAACCACCCCACCAAAACCCAGAATGTTCCCAGTTTAAACACTGGGACTGTATTTGGAAAGAGGAGTGAAAGATTATTACAAAAGAAGGTACAGGTCATTTCTAGAAAGTAGTAATAGTGCTTGCAGAGACACAGAATGTGAAAAAGCGTGAATGTCTGGGCAACTGAAAGTGGCTGGGCTCTTCCCCTTTCCCTGAATGTTCTTCCTTTGAATGGAGAAATGCTCAAATCTAAGACTGAGAAATGGAAGGGAGCGGAAGACTCAATCTAGGCGACACTGACCTTGAGTGGGAAAGGAAAAAAGAAGCCACCAAGGACATTTGAAATGGAATGGTCAGAGGTAGGGAACCAGAAGAGAATGGCATTGCAGAAGTATGAATATCACATGCTGGAAGCAGGCTGAGCACTCTGAAGCCTCACATGCCACCAGCAGGTCAAATATGTAAGGGCAGAGGATCGTAGCTGAATGTAAGATGTCAGAGGTCAAGGCTGGCCTTGAAAGCCTCAGGGGAGTATTGGTGGCTATAGTTAGAGAGCAGGATATAGAAGGATACAGAAGATAGCTGTAGACAAGAGGGATTTGAGCATGTTGATATAATGTGTGGAACGGCCAGAGCGAAGAAAAAATATAAAATACAGCTACCTTCCAAACTTGTGTCCAAGTTTCTTTCTCAGTTGCCATTCACTCTTCTATATCCTGCTTTCTAACCATATCCACCAGTACTTCAAACTTTACATTCAACACATCCAGCACAAGCCTCCTTGTTACCAGACTACAGACTGTGAGGGTTTCATTTTTATTCTTTTCTACACACATAATTTTTTGCCTGATGGAATAAATTATGATACTGTAAGCCAATGTGTACCCTCCACATTTTCTCTTCTTTTAAACAACAGTTGATTTTCATCTAATCTTTGAAATGCTAGCCTTTTTTACATGGCTTGTATCTTCTGTTTTTTCACAGACTCATATGTTCAAACATAAAAATAGCACAATAGTCCTGTCATGATGAAAAATAAAGACTTTCATTAAATTTTTACCTCTTTAGTATAAAAAGTAGAGTCACATTAAATATTCTGGGACTGTGTAAGTTGGATATACATTTAACCTGACAGTCCCTAATCCATCCCTGAAGCACTTCTACCTACAATTTTTACTCCTGGCGACTTTTCTCCTGGAAATGATCAAATAAAAGCTCATTAATCATCTAAAATAAACAAATTGGCATAATTCAACACATAATTTGAAATGCATTCATATTTAATGCATACCAATAAAATAGCATAGCATAATCATGGTAGACTAATGAAAATCAAATGAATTTTCATCAGTATTTACCAATTAAGATTTTTTTCATAAAAGTGCATAAAATTTTGATTAGCAAAGATGTCTATGCAACAAGGGA